GCCACGAGGTTCTGCTCGGGCGAAGAGACCTGCCGACTTCCCAACTGGGGGGACGGGGCCTCCACCATACAAGGACTGTCTGGGTACTCGGGAGGGGGAAGGGGGCGACAAAGAGGGAAAGAAGGGAAAAGCGAGGATGGAAGCGGGCTGCTGTGGAGGCAAGGAAGATCAGTCTCGGCGGCGAGCCCCGGGGGAAACGTGCGAGGGGGCAGGCCCTCTCAGAAGGCGGCGGGGCTTCTCTCAAAGGCCTCGAGCCTTCTGAGAAGCCGTCCGTGGTCCTGGAGAAGACTCACAAAAGGCTTCCCAAAGGCGAGGGCTTCTGAGGAGTTCCGCCGCCCTCTGAAGAGGCATGCCCCCTCTCACTTTTCCCGTGGGCCTGCCGGCGACAGTCAGAAACGACCCGGAACACCAGATCGGATCGAGATGTGCGTCGGATGGAGCTGCATCGGCACGGAATCGCAACATCGAATCGGATCGGCCGCGCCAGGATGCACGCCAGCGCCACGCAGGCATCCGGCCGCCGTGCCAGGTCGTCGAAATGTCGGAGTCGGAGTCGAATCGGGTCGGTCCTGCTGTAATCGATGTCGAATCAGATCGATCGGATCGGAATGGACCCTTGGAGAGGGAGAGAGTTAGGAGAGCAACGGCCTGGTAGACCCGACTCGCCGACCGTCGCTGTTTTTGATCCAGGCGTTCTTCCTCGGTGTCGGCATCCGAGGCCCGTTGTCGGGACCAGGTGCCATCAGACTCGGATTCGGGCGAACAACATGCCCCAGGGAAAGTCCGGACCTCTTGGGGCCGCGCACTGAAACCAAAACGCAGCGTCGGACGCAAGGGGAGGAGGGGGAGATTGTTTTTGTTCCAACTCTCCCTGGTTGAAGTGTTCAGGCCGACGTTAGTCGGAGTTCTGACGCGTCACAAGGGGAGGAGGGGGAGGGAGGAGGGATCCAGGAGAAGGAGGAGGAGGAGGAGGAGGAGGAGGGAGGAGGAGGAGGAGGGGGAGGAGGAGGCACATCCACGTCAGTAAACTCAGCTCGTGACGCGGCACAAGGGGAGGACGGGGAGATGGAAGGAAAGGCAGCGGGAGCGGCGGCAGGAAGAGGGAGGGGACGGGCTCGAGTTAGCCTGCGGTTGGTTCGGCCGAGCTGGCCGCCAGATGGCAGGAGACGAGCGTAGGGAAAACATTGTATACACTTCTCGATGTGTGCCCGGCATCCTTGCGCAGGGGCCATGCTAATCTTCTCTGCATCGTTCCAATGATAACGGATGATCCCCGAAGGGAATCCCAGATGGCAGGAGGAGGAGGAGGAGAGCACGGGCAGAAAGAGGGGAGTGAGGAGCAGAAGGGGCGAGGATCAGGAACCCCATCCCGCCGACGTGTTGAGAGCACCACTTGCGTCTCGCTCCGCCGCGTTTGGCACCCGGGGGGGCCTCGCCGTGCCCCGAGGCCGTCAGAAAAAAAACGACCGAGGGTGCCAAGCCGGCCCGGAGGACAGAGGCGAGACTCGGGGGACACCGCGTTCAGAAAGAGCAGCACGTCTGATGGGGAGGAGGGCCGAGGAGGGAGTGAGGAGCAGGAGGAGGAGCAGGAGGAGGAGGAGGCGGAGGTCCGGGGAGTGAGGCGGGGAGCGAGGAGTGGAGAGGAGGGAGTGAGGAGCAGGAGGAGGGCTGGAGAGGGCAAGGAAGGGGAAGCAAGGACCGATGCAACGTTCCCCTCCGGAAACTCCCGGGGCGGGCTTCTCGCTGCCACGGCCGCACCCGCCTCGGACCTTGGGTGGGAACGTGCTCCGCCACGGGCCTGCCAACTTTTTACCTGACGGATCCCGTCCAGGCCGATTCCGTGCCCAGGATCGATGTATACACGCAGCCCTGGCCAAACCAGGAGGGCGCCTGCTGGGCCACAACCCATAAGAAGCACTACAGCTTCTACTTCAGTACAGTCCACCCGTATAACAAGGATGCGCGGTAAGGATGCAAGGGCCTTGGCGGGCCACGTTAGCGCTTTTCGAACGAGGTTGGCCAGCGAGAGTCGCTACGGATGGGTCGAAGGGGCGAGGATGCAAGGGTATCCTTGGGAAGGTTGCCCATCCTTACTATGCGGGTTAACTGCACGGAAGACTGATCCACTGACGGGTCCAACTCGCTCTCTGCATGCATCGGCATCAAACTCACGCGAAGCAGCATGCGTTCCCCGACGTCGCGATCTTGTCATAACGTGGAGCCCCAGGAGGTCTGGAGCCCCTCCTGGGGGACCCCCGTCTCATCCCGCGTCGCTCTTTGATGGCCCCGAGGCCGGGGCAGGGCCCCAGGGTCCGAAGACGGCGAAGATACTTCCGCCGTGCTTCCTGCAACGACGCCAAAGGGGTCTGTGTCTCGGGAGCGGCCGAGCGGGGGGTGTCCAAGAGGGGGGGGGTGCAAATCATGACCGGCGGCATGTGCGCGGCCCAGCGGGGGGGCCAGGGACGTAATGAAATAAGAGGAGGCGCCATGAAATCTGGGGAAATATCATGGCCCACGCCATGATATCCACCCCCCCCTAGTCGTCACCCCCCTCTTTTCCGCCCCCGAGTCTCCACCGATCCTGCGCCCAGGAGGGGCCAGGCCGGGGTCGGTGAAGCCATCGGTCGACGTCGCCCGAAGGTCTGGAGGGCCAGAGCCTCGAGGCCAGGAGCCCCCCTGCGCGACGAGGAGAGGTCGCAGCAGCAGGCCTTCTCAAAAGAGGCCGCCCTGGGCGAGAGACCAGGGTCCACGCCCCGGAGAAATTCGTGACGTCAGACGTACGGGTCGTCCTGCTCCCCCTCCTCCTCCTCCTCCTCCT